GTCTGGGTTATCTCGAGAGCTTTATCCTCTATCTCTGAGATTCTTATTTCAGCATGGTCTAATCTGCTATTAATACTTTCTATTACATCCTTGAGTTCCCTAATTGACTGCTTTAGTTCCTTCTGCTCTGCTGCATCCTTTCTGTAGTCTTCGTATCGTTCATGTCTTATTTGATTCTGTTTTTGAATTTACTTTTGGTTATTATCCACTTTCTCAGCAATTTATTTCATTGTTTTTTGATTGTTTTCCTAATCTTTGATAAACCGAACAAGAATATCCACTGGCAGAAAGACTCCCTATTTAATAAATGGTGTTGGGAAAACTGGATATCCACATGTAAAAGACTAAAATTGGACCCACATCTTTCTCCACTGACAAAAATTGATTCAAGATGGATAAAGGTCTTAAATTTAAGGCATGAAATGATAAAAATTCTCAAAGAAAAATAGGAGAAACACTGGATTATATTGGCCTGGGGAAAGACTTTATGACAAAGACTGCCATGGCAATAACAACAACACCAATAATAAACAAATGGGATTTAATGAAACTTAAAATTTCTGTACAGCTAAGGAGACAACAACCAAAGAAAATAGACAACTTACTCAATGGGAAAGGATATTTGCTTATTTTGAATCAGACAAAAGTCTAATAACCAGGATCTATGCAGAATTTCAATTAATTTATAAGAAAAAATCCAACAACCCCATACATCAATGGGGAAGATTCATGAATAGAATCTTCTCTAAAGCTGATAGATGAATGGCTACTAAGTACATGAAAAAAATGTACATCATACCTCATTGTCAGAGAAATGCAAATTAAAACCACCCTGAGATATTATCTAAACCCAGTGAGAATGGCCTATATCACAAAATCTCAAAACTGCAGATGCTGGTGCAGATGTGGAGAGAAAGGAATGTTTTTGCACTGCTGGTGGGACTGCAAACTAATACAACCTTTTTGGAAGGAAGTATGGAGAAACCTTAAAGAACTCAACCTAGACCTCCCATTCAATCCTGCAATCCCATTACTAGGCATCTATCCAGAGAAAAAAAAACCCTTTTATTATAAAGACATTTGTACTAGGCTGTTTATTGCAGCTCAATTTACA